AGACCCATAGATGGCTCTGAAATCGACACTCTATACTCCAGTGATGGCGTGGATACTGTAACATAATGTCTGAAGGGGGCAATGTGCTCACAAGCCCAGTATTGAGGCTGAAGCAACCCACCCCTATAGACAACCAACAAGTCAACCCAATGATGGTTACATGACTAGGTGAACAGTCACCACTAAAATTCAGAGACATGTCCATGAATGAGTTTGATCCCCCCATACATAAATTATGGAATCTAGCAACTCTAGGTATTGTTCCTGAACCACCTAGTCAAGATGATGACTGGACATACACACAATACCTGGACCCAGTTGTCTACAGGGACAATCAATACTGGGTGAGGTTACCATGGGAACTGAATAGCACTCAGCAACCCATAAACCATTTCATGGCACAAAATCAATTAAGGTCATAGGTGATGCGCTTAAATAGACATTCTGAGAAGTTGAAATTGTACCATGTTATAATCCAACAACAAATTGATATCAAAATCATCGAGGTTATAACTAACGATAACCCTAAGGAAGGATCTGCCGCACCATCCATTACTGAGGAATTCAGCTGCTATCCCACTGAGGATAGTATTTAACTGCAGTGCCAAGACTAGGCAGAATAGTGTTTAATTTAATGATTGCCTTCAAACTGGCCATAGCCTGAAACAAAGACTGTACGACATGCTGTTAAAGTTCCACATCGGGACTTATGCACACACAGTCGACATCAGTTGGGCATTCTTAAGTCAATAACTACACAATGGTCCTATGGATCAAGGATCCTATCGATCTGAACAGTGATTTAATCACCTACAGGTTTGCATCAGTTTTGTTTGGTGCTACTTCTTAGCCGTTTTTGCTTCAAGCAACCTTAGACATGCTCATGAAGAAGTCTAATAGCCCAAATAAAATTGAAATTAGCAACAACCTGTATGTGAACAATTTCCAAGGAACAACCAGCAGTGAAAGTAAACTGCTGAACATATATCACGAGGCCAATCAAGAGTTGCCGAGAGCAAATATGCCTCTCCAGTTGTGGGACTCCAATAATACCAATTTAAATCATGTGATTGAAACAAAATTTCTCGACTACAAGGTACTGCAGAAGACAAAGGTACTAGGTGTTGAATGGGATAGGACTTAAGATCAATTGACCATCAAATCAGTGGAACCAGATACAACCAACCTAAATATGAGGTAACTACTATCCCAAGTCAGCTAACCTTTCGACCCCTTGGGACTATTAAGTCCAATATTGATATGTGGGAAGTTGATAATGCAGGAATGCTGGCAACAGATGATAGGCTGGGATGATCTTCTAACACCTGCCTTACAAGAAAAGTGGCAGGGGCTAGTAAAGGATCTAAGTATCCAGGAGTCTGTCAAGTTCCCTCGGAACACAGTAAATGAAAATCAATTAAACTACATGTATTTTGCGATGCCTCAGGAAAGACTTATGGCACAATAGCTTACCTGGTCTCAAATCGGCAAGCCAATTTGCTCACATGAAAGGCCAGGGTGGCACTGTTGAAGAAATGGTCATTGGCACAACTGGAGTTAACAGCCCTACTGTTAGGAGTAAGATTGGCTCATTATCTGATGCCTTAAGCAACATCCACTTTGAAGAAACAGTGGTATGGTCAGATAATGAGGCAGTACTACAGTGGGTGAAAAATAATAAGAGTAAAAATCCTTACATGAGTAACCGCATTAAGGAAATACAAGAGCTGTCAGCAGGGTACAAACTGAGGTATATGTACCCTCCGAAGATAATCCAGCTGATTATCTCTCCAGAGGCCTAACTTTATGGCAATTAACCAAAACCTAGATGTCGTTCAATGGACCTCAGTGTCTAGTCAGTGACCAATGGTGCTATTGGTCAAAACAAGAAAACAAAAGGTGCCTGAACAAAAGCCACAAGTCATTGTGCCCAATGTCACTGTTCCCAATGAGAATCCAGAACCACCGCGGACTTTGGTAACTGATCCTAATCGGTACTCTGAACTGAACAAACTACTAGGTGTCACACAAGTGGTGTTTGATTTCCTAAAGAAAATATGTATCAAACATCAATTCCCTAGTCCCTTAAGGTACTAGGTCAAAAGAGCCCAAACAGATACATTCGGGATGGATTTTGACAACAACCCTAAAACACCTCAAAATGATCTGGGTCTTTGGTTTGTCACAAATAATTATAACCTAATAAAGTGTGGAGGCCGCTTACAGCATGCAAACATATATCTGGAAGTAAAAATCCAAAATTGTTTCCACATCACCACATAATAATCAATCTATTTGTGTTACACATACACAAACACAACACTCTGCATGGGGGGATACTGGATACCCTCACTGACCAAAGATAACAGTTCTGGCTTCCTCAATGTTGGCAGACTGTAATGTCCATAATTAAATCCTGTGTAATCTGCTGGAGGTACGATGTTAGAGTGTGTCCTTACCCTGGACCTCCACCACTCCCAAAGGAAAGAGTTCTTCATCTTCGTCCCTTTGAGACCACTGGAGTAGATTTCACAGGAGCTCTAACACTAACAGGCACCAAGGTCAAAATCCCAGTGAAGGCATAAATCGGCCTATTCATCTGTGCCACAACAAGGGGAGTACATCTAGAATTGACTCCTGATATAAGTGCCGAGGCATTCCTATAGGCTATCTGCAGATTTGCAGCCCGAAGATCCTTCCTAAATTAATGATCTCAGACAATGAGTCCAAAATGGGTGGCAGGAGAAGCATGTCTGACGGAAGTCTGGAACCACCCAAAGGTGTTCACTGCCCTGAATCAACGGCAGTGTCACTGAAAATTCATACCTACCTGAGCACCGTGTCACAGAGGCTTCTATGAACGCATGATTGGTAGAGTAAAACATTCTCTTAGGGAAACCCTACACTGCCAAAAGATTGACATACCAGAGCTCCAAACCATTGTTATAGAAATAGAAGCTCGAGTTAACAGCCGACCACTTACCTCTCTGATGATGTTTCACAACGTGAACCATTAAGTCCTGCCTATCTGATATATTGGGGGACCTCTAAGACCTCTAGCATTCCTAACGAATGAGGAACCAGAAGATCCTTCATATGTCAGAGAGAGTGACTTGGTTCAACGTTTCAAACATCTCTCATGAGTGATAAGTCGGTGGAATGACGTATGGACTCGAGAATACCTAACTACTCTGAGGGAGTATTATTATGGGGCTAACGACTCCTAGAACAGAATTACCTTGAACCCTGGTGACATAGTTCTGGTGGACAGTGATGGGCCACGCTCAGAGTGGCCTATAGACCAAATAGTCTCTATTCATCCAGACCGTCAGGGCATCTTGAGAATAGTGGAAGTAAAATGCTTAGGCAACACTCCTCTCAAAGTATTAGAGAAATTAGTACATATAGCACTGGCAGGAAAGGAAGAAGCTCAAAGACTTCCAACACCTGAAGCGCCAGTATGGGGCATTTATCCAAAAAGGATTGCTGCACGACAATGCAAGCTCAAATTAAAACATTATAATTCAGAGGGAAAAGAAATAAAATATTCGAATTCTTAAAAATTTGACTTTGACCTATATTTCACCCTCCCCACCAGAATTATGTTTGGAAATCCGACACATTAACATGTTAATTTTCTATAGTTATCCAAAACCGGAACATTAAGGAGAATGGGGTCCATGACATCATCACAACAAGCACATATTTACACAACATGTATTCCTTAAAACAACAGTTTGGTGTTTAAACTTAATAAAAACGTATTCACTAGGACTGGATATAATTAAAGATACCATAAAGTATAGCTTAGCTCCCTAAGTCCCCTAAGATAGAGTAGGAACCAAACAAATAGTATTGGAACACCTCCCCAGGGAAGAAGGCGGCGAGTCATTGTCTTGAGAGAATGTAAACACGAGACAGAGGGAAGAGCTCGCTCTTTGTCACAACACAGAACAGACATTTCCCACGAGCTGCGATAAAGGAACCATTACGATCCAGCCAACCAAAGATCTCACTTACAAAGGGAAGAACAGCTTTCGGTATTTCTATTGCACATAAGAGTGACCATTATTAGTGTAGGAAATTATCGTTAGGACACGGGATTTCACCCCAACCAAGTAAGAATCTTTTTATTAGACACACGAATAATAAATGTCACACCGTTAAATTATGTTTATAGAGCATTTTATATAGCCTAACTTATTCACACGTGTGGTTCAAGAAACACAAGTTGATGAGAGCTTCAACTATAACCTGTGATTCTTCCTTGCTTTGAGTTCCCCAGCAGCTGCCTGACAGACCCGCCAGTTGTCATTACATGGCACACTCAGAACATATGTGCCTCACCGTAATTTAATGTTTAAGGACAACAACTATCATACCTCCCAACAGGCCATAACAGCCTACTCAGATAAGCTCACACAGTTATACTAATATAATCATAATTGATTGTAGTATTAACCTCGTACTGTAGTCTAATTACCACCATATGTGGTATAATTTATATGAAGCCAACGGTTAATGTTTAGGCTCATTATATCTCCATCAATTGTGGGATAATCTGTACACATTTACCACCCACTATGTGCACAGGTAAAACCTGGCAGACTGTCTTTACATACAGTCCACTAACAACTTTTGAAGTAAATAAAAATCCAAATAAATATTCACAAATTAAAAGCACAAACTGCCTGCTAGGATTACCCCACAACCAAGATGAGTGAACACTAACAACCAAGATACAACCACTAACTAACTACAATGCGTGTACACTAACAACCAAGACACAGCCGCTATATAACCACAATGCGTGAACACTAACAACCAAGATACAACTGCTATATAAACACAATGCGTGTACACTGACAACCAAGATACAACCACTATATAACCACAATGTGCGTACACTAACAACCAAGATACAACAGATATATAACCACAATGTGCATAAAAAACCCAACAGCATCTTGGCTAGATAATCATGTACTCTCGTTACTAACTTCTCAAACTTTTCAGGAAACATCCTTAATGTTGAATGTAATATTAGTCCATGACGCATAGTCCACGACGCGATTCTCACTACCTCAGATCCGTGTTGACTATAGGGCAGACTTACGTACAGGGAACACCTCATGCTGAAGGTGAACAAGAAAATAAATTTAAATATGTGAAATTCTAATTTTACAACAAGGAATATCATAAGATTATAACATTACATTACATTAGCACAAATGTATACCTGATAATGCTGGGAGAAGCCTCTATGATCATCAGCATTGTATTCATCATGGAGAAGGTCCAATGAGAGCTCACAAGGACCTGCAGGTGGTGGAGGGGGAGGCGGGTGAGGACCAGGAGCCTCGTCGACCACACCAGGAGGCGGCCCTTGAGGGACCACTGGGCGAAGGTGGCGAGGAAGGCGAGGTCGTCGCTCACCACCACCACCGTCACGCACCATGACACCTGCCGCACCTGTTGACGTCAACATGGTAGATGTTATGTGAGAGTGACCAACCCGCCTCAGTAGTGATGTGAGAGTGACCTACCCGCCTCAGTAGCGATGTGAGAGTGACCTACCCGCCTCAGTTGCGATGTGAGAGTGACCTACCCGCCTCAGTTGCGATGTGAGAGTGACCTACCCGCCTCAGTTGCGATGTGAGAGTGACCTACCCGCCTCAGTTGCGATGTGAGAGTGACCTACCCGCCTCAGTTGCGATGTGAGAGTGACCTACCCGCCTCAGTAGTGATGTGAGAGTGACCTACCCGCCTCAGGAGTGATGTGAGAGTGACCTACCCGCCTCAGTAGTGATGAGAGGGTGACCTACCCGCCTAAGTAGTGACGTGAGAGTGACCTACCAGCGTTATCAGTAATGTAAGAGTGACTTTAACATCGTCAGCAGTAATGTGAGTGACCTACCAGCACCAGCAGTAATGTGAGTGACCTACCAGCATCAGCAGTAATGTGAGAGTGACCTACCAGCACCAGCAGTAATGTGAGAGTGACCTACCAGCATCAGCAGTAATGTGAGAGTGACCTACCAGCATCAGCAGTAATGAGAGAGTGACCTACCAGCATCAGCAGTAATGTGAGAGTGACCTACCAGCATCAGCAGTAATGTGAGAGTGACCTACCAGCATCAGCAGTAATGTGAGAGTGACCTACCAACACCAGCAATAATGTGAGAGTAACCTACCAGCACCAGCAGTAATGTGAGAGTGACCTACCAGCACCAGCAGTAGTGTGAGTGACCTACCAGCATCAGCAGTAATGTAAGAGTGACCTACCAACACCAGCAGTAATGTGAGAGTGACCTACCAGCATCAGCAGTAATGTGAGAGTGACCTACCAGCAGTAATGTGAGTGACCTACCAGCATCAACAGTAATGTGAGAGTGACCTACCAACACCAGCAGTAATGTGAGAGTGACCTACCAGCATCAGCAGTAATGTGAGAGTGACCTACCAGCATCAGCAGTAATGTGAGAGTGACCTACCAGCATCAGCAGTAATGTGAGAGTGACCTACTAGCATCAACAGTAATGTGAGAGTGACCTACCAGCATCAGCAGTAATGTGAGAGTGACCTACCAGCATCAGCAGTAATGTGAGAGTGACCTACTAGCATCAACAGTAATGTGAGTGTGACCTACCAGCATCAGCAGTATTGTGAGAGTGACCTACCAGCACCAGCAGTAATGTGAGAGTGACCTACTAGCATCAACAGTAATGTGAGAGTGACCTACCAGCATCAGCAGTAATGTGAGAGTGACCTACTAGCATCAACAGTAATGTGAGAGTGACCTACCAGCATCAGCAGTAATGTGAGAGTGACCTACTAGCATCAACAGTAATGTGAGTGTGACCTACCAGCATCATCAGTATTGTGAGAGTGACCTACCAGCACCAGCAGTAATGTGAGAGTGACCTACTAGCATCAACAGTAATGTGAGAGTGACCTACCAGCATCAGCAGTAATGTGAGAGTGACCTACTAGCATCAACAGTAATGTGAGAGTGACCTACCAGCATCAGCAGTAATGTGAGAGTGACCTACCAGCATCAGCAGTAATGTGAGAGTGACCTACCAGCATCAGCAGTAATGTGAGAGTGACCTACCAGCATCAACAATAATGTGAGAGTGACCTACCAGCATCAGCAGTAATGTGAGAGTGACCTACTAGCATCAACAGTAATGTGAGAGTGACCTACCAGCATCAGCAGTAATGTGAGAGTGACCTACCAGCATCAGCAGTAATGTGAGAGTGACCTACTAGCATCAACAGTAATGTGAGAGTGACCTACCAGCATCAGCAGTATTGTGAGAGTGACCTACCAGCATCAACAGTAATGTGAGAGTGACCGACCAGCGTCAGCAGTAATGTGAGAGTGACCGACCAGCGTCAGCAGTAATGTGAGAGTGACCGACCAGCGTCAGCAGTAATGTGAGAGTGACCGACCAGCGTCAGCAGTAATGTGAGAGTGACCGACCAGCGTCAGCAGTAATGTGAGAGTGACCTACCAGCATCAGCAGTAATGTGAGAGTGACCGACCAGCGTCAGCAGTAATGTGAGAGTGACCTACCAGCATCAGCAGTAATGTGAGAGTGACCGACCAGCGTCAGCAGTAATGTGACAGTGACCTACCAGCCGAGCCTTGTCGACCAAGTGGGAGAGCTGCGTCAGCATCACGTCAGCATCCTGGCAAGCTGTTGACACCTCCAGTACTGTTATAGACATCTGAAACATGCCCATTACCTGAAATTTTCGAAATTGTATTAATGAAAGAATAACACCACAAGGATTTATTTTGCCGAAACAGTAAAGGAATAGAATTTTACTCAATCATTTAATTTTATCTTGAATATATATGGAATTTTTTTTTATAAAGATTAGAACATACATAAATAATAATAATTTTGTTCAATACTATCCCATAAGCAAATTAAAACAAATATATGCATACATAAACCAGGTTATAAATTCAGTGTTATATACAGAATCTTCAACCAGTTGCACATACCTCTTGTCACAGAACCCCAATGGCCGGCACACCTTAACTTTCACCCTAGACCTGCACCCCTTGAACTTCACCCTTTAACCCTCATCCCATTAAAATATTATCTTTGTTATACACCCCTTGGTTTATATATGCCTCTTGGTTATGACCCTTTGACATATATCACTTGTCATATACCCTTCAACGTTCACCTCGTGTCATATTCCGCTTGACGTGTACCTCTTGGCATGTACCCATTGACACTCACCTCTTGAAATTTGCCCAATCTTGACATACTCCTGAACTTATACCTATTGCCCTATACTTCTTAATATACCCCTAGACGTACTAATTGACATATACCCTATGAACTCCAACATATAACATATATAGCAGGACCGGTGTCTCTCGACCTTCTCTCATAAACCACACATTCATCATATTCCATATGACCTACACCCTCTGACATATATGCTGTAATCTGTAACTCTTGACAATACAAAATGACGTTCAAAACATTGCAAAATACCCATTGATACCACTTGTTATATTCAACATATACCCCCATCAATCTATGCACCTTCATAGTAACATCAAGGAATTACAAGGACCTACACCCTTTGATCCGATATCCCATCTATCCGTTACTCCATTTACAAATTCCCCATAACCTTCCATTCTTGTGTTATATCCTTCGACCTATTCCCTATGACATTTTCCCCATATCACATCTTTTTCCTTGACTTTTACCCCATGACCTACATCCCTTGACTTATACCCCATGACCTAAAACCCTTGACTTATACCAATGATCTACACCCCTTGACTTACACCACATGGCAAAAACACCTTTAAATATTGCTCTGACATTCAAGATAATTCAAAAAGTGTTATTTTACCCGTAAAACGAAGTGTGGAGAGATGACACCATCAGTGATGATTATAGAGGAGCAGCGGGATCCTTGCACCGCCCCTAGGACTTCTCCCACACAACCTGCAGCTGGGGACGCTGCCTCTACGACCTCTCCCACACATCCTCTTGCTGGGGACTCTGCCTCTACGACCTCTCCCACACACCCTCTTGCTGGGGACGCTGCCTCTACGACCTTCCCCACACACCCTCTTGCTGGGGACGCTGCCTCTACGACCTCTCCCACACACGCTCCTGCTGGGGACGCTGCCTCTACGACCTCCCCCACACACCCTCTTGCTGGGGATGCTGCCTCTACGACCTCTCCCACACACACTCCTGCTGGGGATGCTGCCTCTACGACCTCTCCCACACACCCTCTTGCTGGTGACGCTGCCTCTTCGACCTCTCCCACACATCTCCCTGCTGGGAAGATTATAGTGCAGTATGCATAAAGTGCTCAGACTATATTACAGTATGCTTGAAGGGATCTGATTATTAACACAGTGTTCACGAGGAGCTCGGGCTATAATGCAGTGAAATGAGTGGCTCAGATTATAAAATAGTATGAATGAGAGGCTCAGATTATAACAGAGTTTGCATGAATAGCTCAAACTATATTAAATGATATGTGAAGAGCGCAGACTACAATAGAGTTTGGTTGAAGAACTCGGACCATAATTTAGTATGTATGAAGGGTTTAGCCTGTCATATAGTATGCATGACAGGCTCAGACTTGCAAATAGAATGCACGAAAGGCGTAGTGTAGAACAGAGTATCCATGATGGGCTCAAACTTTAATATTAAATACATGAAGAGCTCAGACTATAATATATTAGGCATGAATGCATCAGATGTTTCATACAGTATACACGAAGCACTCCGACTATAATACAGTGTATGAGATGCTCAGATTTCACAAAGTCTGTAGACGTGAAATGTTCAGTGGCGAGTACATATACTTTCCCATTAGTTTAAAAAATATCGAATCAGTGCAATCTTCTACTGGACGGACTGCAGCAGCATGTAGGTTTTATAGAAATAATATTTGCACACAGACTGTCATTGTCGGGTTAAACAACGAGCTGATCTCCACAGAAGCAGAACTAGCGGCACTACAACTAGCTAACAGAACATTGAAAACATAGGAGGAATAATATTTTGTGACTCAAATCTGTTCTTCAAGCCATCGAAAACTTATCCTGGAAGATCGACAGTAAGAACCTCATACTACCAATTATAAACGACCAAATCGCTGCATAGAGTAAAAGGTTTCGAAAATCCTTTGTATGGATACCATCACATATAAATATAAACCACCATAATGTCACAGACATTGCAGCCTGATTAGCGTGTAACAAAGATGAAGTTGAATTTGACCCAGGTATCCCAGATCTCTGCTGTCAAAACTATATTGTTCCAAACAGTCATGTCTGATAGGAGAGAAATTACTGACTCCCAACGGCCTGAAAACCCCAGAATAAAAAGCTATGATGTGTTCAGATCTGAAACCTATGTTTATGGGCAACACAAAACGTCCACCAGACTGCGACACAGTGGTTCACAGGATCAGGTATGGGTTACCGTTACCTGTGATAGGTGGCTACAGGTGACGGATCTCCAAATCCTGAGCACTCCAGGTCCAAACTCTGTGGGCAGGAACTGGGGCATGAGCTTTCACACTACATCACCGAATGCCCAGTTATCAGACCATTCAGACAAGTTGGCGTGAGGTTCCTGGAGTTTTGCAATTACTTATTCACTCTCGTCTCCTTGAGGATATCTTCATAATGCACCCAAAATTTGCCAGTGCAGACTACTGAACATATGACCCTGTATGATCAACCATCCTGCGAGATGGGGACTTTTAGTATCACTGCTACCTTATTCACTTTTGTGTTTATGATGATATCCTCTTAATGCACCCAGCGTTTGCCAGTGCAGACAGTGCAATCACATGCCTCTGTATGACTAACCATCTTGTGTGATGTGGATTTAAGTATCACGTACCTAGTATCATGACACACTCTGTACTCCCTTTCTTATAGTCTAGGGCAGCTGCACAAATGAAAATGTACCTTGATGCGATGATAAAAAAAATTGAATAAATATATTGAATTCCAAACCTTAAGTTCAGATGACATATGCATTCTGGACACAACCATTTGATATAATTGATGGGGGGAAGGGAGTGTAAGGCCTGGGGGAAGGTTGGTGAAGGGAGTGTAAGGCCTGGGGGAAGGTTGGTGAAGGGAGTGTAAGGCCTGGGGGAAGGTTGGTGAAGGGAGTGTGGGGGCTAGGGAAGGTGGGTGAAGGGAGTGTGGGGAAAGATGGGTGAAGGAAGTTGGAAGGCTGAGGGGAAATGGTTGAAGGGAGTGTGGGGGCTGGGGAAGGTGGGTGACGGGAGTGTGAGGGCTGGGGAAGGTGGGTGAAGGGAGTGTGGGGGCGGTTGGAGAAGGTGAGTGAAACGAGTGGAGGTGGGTGAAGAGAGTGTGGGGGCTGGAGAAAGGTGAGTGAAGGGAGTTGGAGAAGGTGGGTGAGGGTAATGGGGGGAGGTGGATGAAGGGAGTGTGGGGGCTTGGGGGAGGTGGGTGAAGGGAATGTAAGAGGTGGGTGAAGGGCTTGTTTCAAAAGAGGGAGGAGATGAGGGAATGGCGTGTGTGGATGGGAAGGATTGGTAGGTGTGCGTAAAGGCAGGTAGAAAAGGAGACCGAGAAAGAGCGTGCGAGGGCAAAGACAGAGAATGGGTGTGTGTGGGCACACAGCGAGGAAACATGGGAAGGGCGTGTGTGAGTACGCAGCGAGGAAAAGGGGGAGGGGGGCGTGAGTGGGCATGCAGCGAGGAGAAAGAGGGAGGGCGTGTGTGAACCTGCAACGAGGGGACATGGGAAGGGCACGCTTTGGCAGGGAGGGATAACCTTGAGGAAAGAGGAGTGTGGGAAGGGATGGAGGAGACGGGGGGGGGGGAGGGAATGGAATGTGTTCCGATAGATGACAGTGAGTGCATATTGAAGAAAATGGAGAGTGTTTATTTGGGATATGAGGATAGTGTGTAGGCGATTGAGAGGATGTGTGTAGGCAAAGACCTTGGCACAGTATAGACCCAGGCACCTCCGGATACCTCATATAGCACAGTAAGCTCAGACAATCATAAAGATTGAAAAATCTTGTTACATATTAATTAAAAAATTTCCGAAAATTAATGGAGCCATTAATTAATGGAGTGAACCAATGTCTATCACTTTGAAAATTAGAAAGGTTTATTTACCTCAATTTTAGCACTTATAAATTATATCATTTAGTCACCTTTCAGTACCATCGTTTTCCCAATTTGAATTTCTTAAATAAATAACTGTTTTTCTATACTGGGAATTGATGCCGGAAATTGTTTGGAACAATGTTGCCACTGAACTGTCCGATATGGCGTGATATGAATAAGATTAATGATATACCAGAAAACTTGCATCCCATATATAAAAACGATTTGTTTTATATTTTCGAATTAATATATTACTACTTAAATTGATGAAAAATATGAACCAATTTTCTTTCTACGTGAAGATATTTACCGGAAAAGTATTTTTACATTAATGGCAACATGACCTGAATTTACAGTAAAGGGCACCCTTAACCACACTGTAACCTTGAATTTAGGAAACTGTTAATTCCATAAAAAATAGATATAAACTAACCGTAAAATTGATGCGTCCTTAAAGTAGGATGACAAGCACCCAACATCACAAAAGCCAACTTCATGAAGATTAGCAGCTCCATTCCTCTTCATAAACACTGTTGATGTAGATGTACGAAGGATTAAGCAATGAACTAAAATATTTTACCTGTTGTTCA